AAGAAGCTAGAGTGCATAAATCTATCAATACGCTGGGGCATTGCTTGAATCTGACCTCTGAAACAAGCAACAGAAATATTTTGACTTTATAAATAATACCTTAAGTATATTTATAGTGTGTCTTTCCAGGACACAGCTCCAAGCACCTCAAGATTTATGTGGTATAGAGAGAAGAAAATCATCCTCATGTGGTACATCTGGAAAATAGGTTAAAAAAAAATCAAGTGACAAATCTCTGTAGGATTATCAACTTGAGGACACTTGTCAAGCACTATCCCACAGGAGTCATCTTACTTAATTTTTTTGTCAACAACTTGGTTAAGTGGATTTTATAAATGATTCAAAATATGTCTGAGTGGCTGGCACTAGAAGCAAAAATGGTTTTTAAAACAACCTTGACAGCGTTTCCTGCTGACAAACAAGGGGGCAGAGATGATGAACATTCCCAAAGTGATAGGTCCTTCTTCACCGGAGAAGAGGGTTGTATGAAGGTTGAAGTCATTGAGCCCGGCTGCTGTCTAAGAAATTCTATTCATTCAGGGATGCTAGAATTTTGAACTCAGGGGGAAAAGAAGAAAAAATCTGGGAGATGAAGGCTTGCCTATACTGCATAACTTTGGTTTTATGATGAAACAATGAAAATATTTTTTAAAGATTTTTTTATTTATGAGAGAGAGAGCACAAGATGGAAGAGTCAGAGGGAGAAGCAAACTCCCTGCTGAGCAGGGAGCCCCATGGGATTCGATCCCGGGACTCCAGGATCATGACCTGAGCCGAAGGCAGTGGCTTAACCAACTGAGCCACCTAGGCACCCCAAAACAATGAAAATCTTAAAGTTGAAATGACCCCTAAAAATCCCCTGGGGTGTCCCAGTTGTTGATTTGCAGCCTCTCAGCTCCAAATTCACTCTTCATGGCTCCACATGGCTTTGCATGTGGGGCTGGAGCTAAATCCTATGGATGTCTCTCCTCTGCCAGGTGACCCAATGGGTGCTATGGGAGCAGAGCAGGAGGAGGTGGTTTGTCTTGCTGGTTCTGGTGTTGTCCCCTCTCTTCTTGTTCCTGCAGCCCCAGAGGTACCCCGTGGCCCTCACCTCAGTGAGTTCATCAGTACCCTTACAGATGGTGACTAGAGAGTTCTGCCAGACCCCAGCCAGCTACCTAGAAAGTACAATACCCCCAGGAAGCTTCCTGATGAATTGGCCAGTGACCCAGCTGGACCCCAGAGGGGGTCGCTCACAGCGAGTTTGATCAGCAGCTCACTGAACTTCTCTGCTAGCCAGAGGGCCATAATCACTCTCTTTTCAGTAAGTGAATCTCAGTTTGGCTCTCAAGAAGGCCCTCTTCCAAATTTGTTCCTTCCTTGGGTTGTCTGCCTTGGTCCTAAGTAGTAGCTGCACCTTGTATCTGTTATTTGTATCATCTCGGGGGTTTCTTAACTCCTTATAGTAGTGAATTCTCTGTTACTAGTTTGTAATGCTTTATAAAAACTTTCCCCATTCATTACTGTGTGATTTCTGTTTCTTGACTAGACCTTGATGAATATACTCATATCCAACAGAAACGTGTGCTTAAAAGTTCACTAGAAGCTATGTACAACAAATTCCATAGTAGCACTATTTGTAATAGCCAAAATGCCCATTACCAGCAGAAGAGAGAAATAATTTGTGGTATATTCATGGAAAGAAATGTTGGAGGGCGATGAGAATAAATGAACTACAAATACATGCAACAACACGAACAAACAGAAACAGAATGTTGAGTGAAAGAAGCAGAAACAAAAGAAAATATGCTGTATGATTCCATTTATGTGAAGTCCCAAAACAGGCAAAACAAATTCTGGTGCTAGAAAGAGAAAAGTGGTTATTCCTAGAGGGGATTAGTGATTGGGAGGGGAAACAAGGAGCTTCTGGGCTGCTGGTAATGTTCTGTTTCTTGGCCAGGGTCTTGGTTATATAGATCATCGTTTATGCAAATTAATTGAGCAGTGCCTTTTTTATGTTTAAAAATTAGTCATGCTGAAAATATGTAATATTTAATAAAAATATTTAATAAAATGTACATATTTATCGAATTTATGAGATACAAATTATTTGACTTAAATAATAAAGCAAAGCTCATTCATTCAACAAAAAAAATATATGTACATAGTATATACCAGTCACTGTATACGATGCTAAGGATCAAGAGATGAATTAGTTATTCTTGGTTCTGTCCACCAAGGGGCATGGTCTACAGGGGAGACAGACATGAAAATGACAACTACAATACAGCATGCTTCATGGCTTTGTTCAGGTGGTACGGATGGAGTGCTACAGATAGAAGAGGAGCCAGGAATGGTGCATTGAAAACCTACACACAGAAAGGTGGTGCCTGAGTGGGGACCTTCCCTCCGCACAGTGCAGAAGTATCTACTTGCTGCACTGTCCTCTACTGCCATAAAAGGATAAGTAGGAGGTGACCAAGGAGAAAGGGCGTATTCTGAGCAGGCAGAACGGCATGTGCAGAGATGTGAATTTTGAAAGTCATTGTAAACTCAGAAAACAGAGAGTGTTTAATGTGGCAAGAGTCTCGGTAACACTGGGAAGAATGGCAGGAGATGAAACTACAGAGGTAAACTCAAGCTTGATTGTGACATGCTTGTACATCTGCTACAAGTGTGATTTTACACAAGGTGCCAAGAAGTGCTGTGTAGCTAGTCTTCAGAGATGCCCTCCCGCCACACACCCAACTGATGCCTTTGTTAGTCCTCTCCCACAGTGAATTTCAGTTGGCCAATGAAACCAATAGAACTTGGTACAAGTGACACCGTGTGATTTCTGAGGCCACTGAGGCTTCTGCTTTGATTTCTTGAAAAACTTGTTCTAGGGGTGTCAGTCATCATATAAGAAGTCCAGCTAGCCTGAGTCCACAGTATTGTGAAGAAGCACAGCCTAAGAGGAACCGTGTGGAGAGGGCTGTTCCTCAGCCCATTCAGGCTTTCAGGTGACTCCAACCTCACCTGACATCTGACCACAACTGCATCAGAAACCCCAATGGAGAATGGACTTGCTGTGTGTTGAATGTGTATAACATAAAGAACTGTAAGAAAGAATTTTTCTTTTTTGGATCTACACTATATTTTGAAACACTACACTTGAGGGTGGTCTATTATGCAGTACTAGACAACTGCAACAGACATTTTGGAATAGCAGCGTGACATAGAGACTTTGAGTTTTTGGAAACACAATCTGGAGACAGCATGGAGGATGGTTTGAAGAAGGCAGAGGTTGAAGATACCAAGACATGTTCAGAGGCTTTCACAGGAGGATAAGTGGGTAGAGAGGCTGGAATCTAGATATACTTGTGAGGAATACTTGACAGGATGTAGAGATCAAATAATGTACGGTGGGAAGGAGAGGAAGACTGTGAAAATCTTTCAGGTTTCTGCCCAAAGAGAATAGGTGGTGGATAATGTCCTTAATAGAAATTAGGGCCTATCGGGGCACCTGGGTGGCTCAGTTGGTTGAGCGTCTTCCTTGGGCTCAGGTCATGATCCCAGGGTCCTGGGATCGATCCCCTCATTGGGCTCCCAGGTCAGCAGGGAGTCTGCTTCTCCCTCTCCGTCTGCCCCTCTCCCTGCTCGTGCTCTCTCTCTCTCTCTCAAATAAATAAGTAAAATCTAAAAAAAAAAAAAAAAGAAAGAAGAGCCTATATGGAAGGGTAGATGAGCTGTGTATATGCTTAAGCTGAAGGGTTTAGAGGATATATTGCTGAAGAAGTCAAACAAGCTGTTGGAAAGTTTTATTTAAGGCACACAGGAAATTGGGGTTGTACATGAACATTTATACACACATAGGCTCACAGTTACATATAATGATGGTTGAAGTTACAAAGAAGAGATCACCAGTAGGAAGGGTTTAGGGCAGTAAGAAGAGGAACAAATAATGGAACTTTGGTAGACTTGGGGCAGAGGCAGAAAAGCCCGCAAACAAAACTGAAAGAAAAAAAAAAGAGAGAGAGAAGTAGAAAGAGAAACAGGAGACTCATGTCTTATAAGCAGATGGACAAGAGAATGTCAAGAGGATGGAGCTTTCATTGTCAAAAGCCATTGCAAGATCAAGTAAGGTGAGAACGTGGCATACGGTTTTGACAATTAAGAGGTCATTAGGAGTCTGAATGAGACTACTTTCCATAATCTGGCTTTGATCAGAGTAAAAAGCAAAGACTATGAATTTAGAATGCTCTTTAAAGATACTTGGTGGCCAAATGAAAAACTCAAGTAAGTTTGTTTGAGCAGGATCGTAGGCTATGAGGAAGGAAGAGACTAAGGACAGGTTGGCTGGCACAAAGTCCCCGAACCAATAGGAGGGGTGGGATAGAGAGGTCTCTCAAGTCATCTGTTTTATAGGCATCTGCTCTTCAAAGTGTGGTCCACAGACCAGTAGCATCAGCGTCACGGGAGAACATGCCAGAAACGCCGAATCTCAGGACACACCACAGTTCTAGTGCATTTAAACAAGATCCACAGAGCCAGGTAAGATAGGCATTACTGTTTCTATCCTTACCTAGGTTGAGACTCAGACTCAAAGAAGTTGACTGACATAGTGGAGCTGATTAGGGACTGAGCCAAGATTCTAGCCTAATGTTCTTTTCAAGAGGTAGACAAGCGAGTTCACAGGGATTTCTACTTTCACTCAATTCAGGAGAATTGTTTCAGATGATAACACCTCCGGACAATCCATCAGGTCTGTAGTTCTAGTGCCGTCAGCGGTGAGTTTGTTGTTACAGCGAGGGACGAATTCCTTTCTGAGCCCTCGGCGGCATCGCAAGAAACCACGTTGACAGCATTGGAACTTCACTTCCCAGCAAGCCCAGAGGCCTCTTTCCGCGCGAGGCATGACGGGCACCTCGGCCCACTCTCCTCTCTAGCGGAAGAACCTTGAGGCGGGACGCCACACAGCCTGACGTGAGGGCGCTCAGCATCCTGGGATGTGTAGTCTGGCTGGGACCGGGACGGCCCCTCGGATGAATGGGGCCCAGGCTGGCTGCGAACTACAGCTCCTCGGCCGTCTGCGTTGGTGGCGGCCGCGGGGGAAGGGGAGCCGCCGGCGGCGCCGAAGGAGAGCAGCGCTGCGGCACTGTGGGGATGTTCTGTGCCGCGGCGGACGCGGCCTCCCGGCTTCCTGGGGTGGCGGTTTAAGCGGGCGCCTCCTCTGCGCGCTCGCTCTCCCTTCCCCGCTCCGGCCATGCGCCCGGCCTTCGCGGTGGGCCTGGTGTTCGCAGGCTGCTGCAGTAATGTGATCTTCCTTGAGCTCCTGGCCCGGTGAGTGACCTTCGCGGGTCGCACCCCCGGCTCGCAGCGCGCGGGGGCGGGGGTGGGACGGCCTGGGACCCGGCGGAGACGGTTGCGCCGTGGTCCTGCGCGCTGGCCGCTGTCCTGCGCACCAGTTTGTCCGCATCCTCGGAGGGGAGCGCCGGGGGTGTTGCTGTCCTCACCCGCTCTCCACGCACTGGGGGATTGAAGGCTGCAGAGTTTTTCTCGTGACGGGTCTAAGGTCGGCAGGGAGCTCGTGGCAGAACCCAGGGCTCCTCCAGCTCTTTTCGCGATCCTGTTAATGCCACACGTTTGACTTGAGCAAAGCTCTTTGACTTCTAACGCAGTCTGATTTTGTACTCACAGCAGAGAGTTTCATTAAGGTGGCCCCTAAAGCATTTGTTTTATTGGCCTTAGAGATGGTTTGAGTACTTGACCCAAACATACCCCCCGGTGATGTAGTCGAATGGATTCTTAACTTATTCACAAGGCCCGTCCACTTGACCAGAGAGAGGAATTCCAGCTTTTAAGATATTACAGTCTTTAGATTGAGAAACATGCATTTCGAGGCGTAACTTTATAAATTAAGAATGATTATGACACTTTCCCAAAGGGAAACTAGGTTAGCTTTATTGAGGTGGCACTCAAATAATGTTGAGTAATGTGCAAAGTTCAGTGGGTAGGAGCTGTTGTTACAGAAAAGACAACAGGTAGACTAGAAAAGGCTCAGGATTGAATCTCAAGTCTTGGTTGGGTCCTCCCTTTTATTTAGCCGCTCTGGGCCTCCCTTTTTCTGGCTGAAGAATAAACTCTATGTGGTGTCCTTTAGTGCCATATATCTGAATCTGCACATATCCACTGACCATCAGAACAGTCTTGTGTACCAAATAGGAGTTACCTCTTTTACAGAAAGTGAAACAGGTCCCGAGAAGTGAGATGGTCTTTCACTACTTGTAGGTGGCAGGACCAGAACTAGAATCCAAGATACTTATACCCTAGTCCAATACCTTTTGCAACCTCCCTGTTATTTTTGACCTTAAGCAGCCCACAGAACTTTGGTCAGTGCTTCACCTGGAGCCTACTAGAAACGTATTTATTTTGTTTTCATGATGCCATTGATTAGTCATTCTGAAACAATCCGTTTACTTAAGGTATGGGTTAATTTTTGCTATCACAGAGCTTGAAATCTTATGCCGAAAGTATTGATAAAGATCTGCCACCTATTTGGGGCAGAGTTGGAGAGAGGTTTAAAAAAATAAAAAAAATTAAAAATGTATTCTCTTGTCAGTCTGGTATACTTCAGAGGAAGGTCATTTGGGGAAATTGATTTAAAAATATTTAAAAAAGTGAGAAAATCAGGCCAGCCATGGAAATGAAGATCAGAGAATAATATAAGTATATATATAAATATAATACTTGTGTTGAACATGCCGTTAAATCCTGCCAAAGGCTGTATGACGTCATAATATGCTAGTGCCTGAAGGCCCTCGTTACTAAGTGTGAGCTCTTGGCTAAATTACTTGATCTCCTGAGCCTGTTCTTTGAACTGTGAAAGGCCGGCGGTGGCTGTACCAGCCTCACAGGGTTTTGAAGGGTTCAATGAAATGCACGTGCAAAGCACCTGGAGCACACTGACTTTTTTTTTTTTTTAAGGTTTTTAATTTATTTATTTGACAGAGAGCGAGAGAGGGAACACAGGCAGGGTGGGGGGAGGGAGTGGGAGAGGGAGAAGCAGGCTTCCCGCCGAGCAGGGACCTGGACACGGGGCTCTGTGCCAGGACCCAGGTGCCCCAAACTGACTTCCTCTTGTCTCTAATGACTTCGGTTCCAGTAAGGGTAAACCTTGTTTTATAGGTACTCCGGAAAAGTTGTGGATAAATCTAACTTTACGGAATGTTTTTGTGAATTAGAGGAGCCTCTATTTAGAACGCTTAGAAGAATTTACATACACATCTTCCTCATCTATCTTTTTTTGTAAATCTGACCTTTTGCATACAGCAGTGGGTTTTCATAAAGCGGTGAGGGGTACATTTATTGTTTTAGTGAGTGGTGTACATCAGACCGAATAGCAGCTTTTTCCTGATTGGCTTGGGCAGCTCACTTCTTACTCTGTTAAAGATCAGTAAAATAAAAGCAGGTTGGACCAGATGGTCTTTAAGGTCCTTTGTAGATTTGGCCTCCTCATAATTTTCTACTTTATCTTGGGACATCACAGTGGAAAGCTCATAAATTTTTATAGAGCAGGAACTGTGCTCTTATATGGCTTCCTTGGAACCATTATGTGCCCTAGGAAGTGCCAAGTAGAACACTAACTATAAATGGAAATGCTAGAGTGACTTGTAGGGAGAAGGAAACATTTTTCTCCATTTTCCCCAAATTGGAAAACAAATCTAGGTTTCTTCCTTTTGATTTTTATATCTATAATTGGGACCTATAATAAAAAGCACCACGCAGTGTACAAAACAGACATGAAGTCATGAATGGATGCCTTGATCTCCCTCCTGAAAGAGCTTGGAAACAGGATGCACATACATCGGCTGACTAGCTAGCCAAGGTAGCGCGTGTCTTACTTCAGGAAAACAATCTGGAACATTTTCTTTTTCCTATCTTATTTTATAATCAAGTGCACCATTTTGACTCAAATAGGAAGTTTCCTAAATCTGAAAGAAGTACAAAAGGCATAAACTTCTTTCTCTTCAAAGTTGCTTGGCTTTGAAGTAAAAATTTGAATGCTTACCAAAGAGAATTCAAAGTAAGAGAAACTGTTTGCAGTTGGTGATTATAATTTCTAAGGAGTAAAGTTCAAGAAAACAAGTGATTTAGGGAAAAGGATCCAAGTTTTTACATTGAAGTTTTAAAATGAATTATTAAAGTTAAAACAAATAGTTCCATTGGTAGCCATACAACAGTGTGTTTCCCAAAACGCTAAGTTGATTTAAAAAAAATTAATTATGTGAGTACATTAGGGATATTTTAAAATCCTGTGGAAATAGAGACAAAGTAGAATAGCGTTGTCAAGGGATGGGGGAGGGGGCAATGGAGAGGGACCCTAATGGGTATGAGATTTCTTTGGGAGGTACCGTAAAATGGTAATAGCTGCACAACTCTTTAGTAAAAAACACTGAATTGTAAAGAGTAATATAAGGGTGTCTGCAAACATCACTTATTTGCCCTGTGGCTCTGTGAGACTTACCTGAGTCAGTGCCATGTGGACCTCGGTGTCTTTAGCAATGAAATAGGCATAATTACAACTACCTCTGTAAAATAAAGATAAAAATTGTTAGGCCTTTTAAAAAATCCTGTGAGGAATACACTTGTAAAGTGAATCGGTTTTAGAAATAAATGATTTCTTTTTATCTTTCATACAATATTTTAGGTCATATGTGAGGCACCCTCACGTTCATTCAGCCGTTTGAGTAAAGGTCAGATACTGGGCCCAGAGAGCAGGGCATGAAGATGGATTGGACACCGTTGGTCCTCACCTTCCCTGTGTGGCACTGAGTTCTTACTGTTTCATACTCTCATGTTTGCCTCATTCATGATATTGTCATCCCCTTAAGGGCTCAGGTCTCCTTCACATTGGGAGCTCCCCAACACCCAACTTTACACGTGATAGGTTCTCCTCAATTGTTCTGTAATTGAATTGGCCTCATCTTTTGGTAAAGAAAAAAATGGGTGGGAAGCAGGGAAGCTTGATGAACCCCATTTGGGCTAAGTCTTGTGTTAGCACTTTACATTTTCTCATGGAATCCTCAATACAAAATTAAAAATTTATCACTTGCACTTTATAGGGGAGAAAAATTGGTCAAGATAAATGTCTTTATCTTTAATTGAAGACCTTCCGGGGCGCAAGATCCTAATGTTAGTCTTTGCCTTTTTCCCTCTGTGGCACACTATTAAGCGCTTTTCAGGGACTGGCTTGTTTACTCTACAATAAACCAGTGAGATAGGCACTAATACTGTTCGCATTTTAAAGATAAGGAAATAAGACTTAGATAGGGTAATTAACTTCCACTCTATAGAACTGGATCCTGCCCGTCATTGTGTAATTTTAACCACCTTGGGTGGTTCTCAGCCCTGTGATAGCATATGGGAACCACCTGCACATCTTATGTAGGTGCATACACACCCTCTCACACACATCTTCCAGCACTTTCCCCAGACCTACACTAGTGGTTCTCAGCTCTGGCTGCACCTCACAATCAAGCAGAGAGCTTTGAAAAGTACAGGTTCCAGGGCCCTACCCCACAGCAGTCTAAGCAGAACTGGGGGGGGAGCGGGGGGGGAGGTGCTCCTCAGGCACGTGGGTTTCTAAAGAGCAGCCTAGGGGCGCCTGGGTGGCTCAGTCGCTAAGCGTCTGCCTTCGGCTCAGGTCATGGTCCCAGGGTCCTGGGATCGAGCCCCGCGTCGGGCTCCCCGCTCCGCGGGAAGCCTGCTTCTCCCTCTCCCACTCCCCCTGCTTGTGTTCCCTCTCTCGCTGTGTCTCTCTCTGTCAAATAAATGGATAAAATCTTTGAAAAAAAAAAAAGAGCAGCCTAACCAGAGTTGAAAAGCACCATGCCAGGAACTAGCTAGAGCTAAAGTACCTTCTGTCACTCATAATTAGGCTAATGGTTTTAATTAGCTCTTTGAATGAGGTCGATGTCTTACGTGATTGTTTATGGCTTCTTGCAGTGTTTACCCTGTATCCCTTGAACATAAATGCTAAAAGAAATTGTTGAATATAAAGCAGTAGTTTTCAAGAACACCTTCATAGAGCCTAAAGAGTAGCCACAGTTGTTGCAGATGGCAAGCATAGCTCTGCACGAGAGTGGCTTATGTTCAGGGTTATCTATTTTATGCCTGATGGGTGTATTTAAGAACTTGTATACTTGACATTGCTATTTAATAATAGTACCACCAGTAGAGAACGGGGTTGTTTTTCTAAATAGCATTATATTAGATGTAATTGTACATTTATAATACAATAATCATCTAATCACTAGCCTCTGGTAAATAAATGTCCTTGATGAGAAAATGGAATATGAAGCCTGAGAAATGTGGAAGCTTCAGGGAAACAGAGACAACTGGTCACTTTGTACTTCTTCCAGTGACTGGGCAGAAGCCAATGGAGGACAAACTCCAAACCACAAACATTTTAAGTAACCGACTTTCGTAGAGTGTTTCAAGAGTGAGGTCAGAAGGACTTTTTCTGCCTTATAAATATGTTCCTAACGGATACTGTGGAAGACTCCTCATCCCTTAGTGGATCCCTGAAGAGGTTCGATTCAATTCCACCATTTGTGGAGTACCTAATATACTTGTGTTCAGGGCTGTGGGGAACAGTAGATGATAGTAGTGTTCTTCAGCCTTTTCTCATTATTGCTCCTTATTTCTCCTTACCCCTGCCAAAGACCCTTTGTCTGTAGACATTTTTTCCCTAATCACCCCCCGACAGATACGTTATATACTGGTTCATGTGCTGTATTTATATATACTTGATACTTCAAAAAAGAGTATGAATCTCCCCACCCCAAGAACCAATCGTTGCCCCCAGGGGGACTTTCTCTAAGGTGATGTCCCAGTCACCAACAATGGGTGCGTGTCTTCTGTTGACAGTAGTCTTGGTGGTTCCTGGTCAGGAGACTATGTAAACATTCCAGGAGACCTGAGCATATTTCTGTGCTTGGGCTTTGCTGCTGAGACTGACTAGGATTCTGACTAAAGCCCATTTGATGAAGTGAGTATCCCAAGTACATACGACCAACTTCCCACAGTTTACTAGAAAAGTTGTATCGTAGTTCTGAGAATGAGTGTTAGCACAATTCTTACTCATGGCCTGCTACACCTAGGGAAGAAATAGCAAGCTTGACGTTCTTCTCTGCGAGCTCTATTGATAGATGTGTGTGATCCATGGGATAGGAAATCTGAGATAAAGGACAGTGGGTAATAGAAATCAGTCCTCTCTGTTATTTCATACTATCAATATAACAAGTCTTGGTGCCCTTTATCTCAGCTTTTTGTACCTTATTTGCCTCTTTGTTTTTTTACTACACAGGAAGCATCCAGGATGCGGGAACATTGTGACATTTGCACAATTTTTATTTATTGCTGTGGAAGGCTTCCTTTTTGAAGCTGATTTGGGAAGGAAGCAGCCAGCTATCCCAATAAGGTATGGCACATTGAAGTCTCTTTTAGCCTTTGTTTTTTTTTTTTTTTTAAAGAAGTTCAGGACTTTTCTGGTAACTAGAAAGGAGTATGAGATATCCTTTTATAAGATCTGTGTCAAAGATATTAGAATAATAATGGTAATTCATTTTCTGAATTTAATATATTGTGAAACTCCGGGGAGCCTATTTTTAGAATAAAATTCCCACTGCAACACAAAATAATTATGACGGAGACAACAATGTGTGTATGTGTGTAATATATGGTTGGTAAAAGGCTTAGTGTGACCACAATGTTTTTTAATAGTTAATGTATGCTAGCCTCATGTTGGTAAAGTTATCACATACACTAAGAGTGGTATTATTGGTCCTTTTTAAAAATGAGTGGGTCTGGGCAATAAACAGAAGTGGTGCTTATGCAGCCTCATGATATACTAAATGCCACTGAATTGTTCACTTTAAAATGGTTGATTTTATGTTACGTACATTTCCTCTCAATTAAAAGGAAGTGAATGGCAAGCTAAGGCAAAATTGTTGATTCCAGACATCCACCCGTTAGTCCAGATTTGCATAACTGTACTCAGGGGGCCAAATAGAAAACAAGACAGTTCTTCTAATAAACAGTGTATTGAAAATTCAACATTCTTGCTGAGAGGGACTGGAAATAAAAGTGTAATGCATCCAGTTGTGAGCATGTAGTAAGATCAGGACATGTAATCCTGTTGCTAGGGATTTTCCTGGTGTGAATGTATCCAAGGACTGGTTAAGGCTCTCGGTGGTTGGTGTTTTTTTACAACATTCCTGAGTAGCCTGCTATAGAAAATGTGGTTGAATTTTGTTATTAATATTGTGCTTTTAAATTTCCCAACGTGATGCTAAGTATTCTGAGTAGGTTGTTTCTTTGTTGGCTTTAATATCTACATAAATTTTCGGTTCCCTAAGCCAGCATTTACATCATGGTAGGAGCCCCCACATTTTTTTTTTTTTTTTTTTTTGGAAATCACTCTATAGTTTTATCCTATTTTCAAATTTTTATTTACATTTTAGTTAGTTAACATACAGTGCAATATTGGTTTCAGGAGTAGATTCAATGATTCATCACTTATATGAAACACCCAGTGCTCATCACAAGTGCCCTCCTTAATGCCTATGACCCATCTACCCATCCCCTACCAACCTTCCTCCATCAGCCCACGGTTCTCTACTGTTAAGAATCTCCTATGATTTGTTTCCCTCTCTCCCTTTTTCCCCCCTTTCCCATATGTTCATCTGTTTTGTTTCTTAAATTCCATATATGAGTGAGGATCATATGGTATTTATATTCTTTGACTGACTTATTTCACTTAGTATAATACACCAGCTCCGTCTATGTGGTTGCAAATGGTAAGATTTCTTTCTTTTTAATGGTTGAGTAATAATCCCTTGTATATATATACCACATCTTTATTCATTCATAAGTTGATGGACATTTGGGCTCTCTCCATAGTTTGGCTATTGTTGATAATGCTGCTATAAACATCGGGGTGCGGGTGCCTGGGTGGCTCAGTCGTTAAGTGTCTGCCTTCGGCTCAGGTCATGGTCCCAGGGTCCTGGGATCGAGTCCCACATCGGGCTCCTTGCTCAGCGGGAAGCCTGCTTCTCCCTCTCCCACTCCCCCTGCTTGTGTTCCTGCTCTCGCTGTCTCTCTCTGTCAAACAAATAAATAAAATCTTAAAAAAAAAAAAATCGGTGTGCATGTACCCCTTCAAATCTGTATTTTTTAATCCTTTGGGTAAATACCTTTAGTGCAATTGCTAGATAGTAGGGTAGTTCTATTTTTTTTTATTATGTTAATCACCATACATTACATCATTAGTTTTTGATGTAGCGTTCCATGATTCATTGTTTGCGTATAACACCCAGTACTCCATTCAGTACATGCCCTCTTTAATACCCATCACCAGGCTAACCCATCCCCCCACCCCCTCCCCTCTAGAACCCTCAGTTTGTTTCTCAGAGTCCACAGTCTCCCATGGTTCGTCTCCCCCTCTGATTCCCCCCCCTTCATTTTTCTCTTCCTGCTATCTTCTTCTTTTTTTTTTAAACATATAATGTATTATTTGTTTCAGAGACACAGGTCTGTGATTCAACAGTCTTACACAATTCTATTTTTAAGTTTTTGAGGAACCTCCATACTGTTCTCCAGAGTAGCTACACCAGTTTGCATTTCCACCAACAGTGCAAGAGGCTTCCCTTTCTCCACATCCTCACCAACACCTGTTCTTTCTTGCATTAATTTTAGCCGTTCTGACAGGTGTGAGATGGTATCTCATCATGGTTCTGATTGATATTTCCCTGATGAGTGATGTTGTGTCTCTTAGCCATCTGGATGTCTTCTTTAGAAAAGTGTCTATTCATATCTTCTGCCCATTTCTTAAGAATATTTAGGTTTTTTTGTGCATTGAGTTTGATAAGTTCTTTATATATTTGCGATATTAAGCCTTTATGAGATATGTCACTTGCAAATATCTTCTCCCATTCTGTAGGCTGCCTTTTAGTTTTGTTGAATGTTTCCTTTGCTGTGCGGAAGCTTTTTATCTTGATGAAGTCCCAATATCTCATTTTTGCTTTTGTTGAAGTTGCTGGGGCCAAGGTCAGAGAGGTTGCTGCCTGTGTTCTCCTCTAGATTTTGATGGCTTCCAGTCTCACATTTAGGTCTTGCATCCGCTTTGAATTTATTTTTGTGTATGGTGTAAGAAAGTGGTCCAGTTTCATTCTTCTGCACGTTGCTGTCCGTTTTTCCCAACGCCATTTGTTGAAGAGACTGTCTTTTTTCCCTTGGATATTTTTTCCTGCTTTGTTGAATATTAGTTGACCATACAGTTGTGGGTCCATTTCTGGGTTCTCTATTCTGTTCCATTAATCTGTGTGCCCCAAATAGCCCAAGCAGTCCTGAAAAAGAGAAACAAAACTGGAGGCATCACAGTTCCAGATTTCAAGCTATACTACAAAACTGTGGTCATCAAGACAGTATGGTGAGAACAAGGATCCCCCACACTTTTTATTCCTCTGACTCTCCCCCCACCCCCGCCCCCGCCATTATCTCTTTCCATTCAGCTTGCCCCTAGCACAGTTCAGGAATGCATTCCCTCTTGCCATTAACTTTTTTAATGGTGTCCTAGCTGGCTGGCCTCTCGCCTCCCACCCCTCCATCCCTGTATTTCGACTTCCTACCATTGTATTGTGACACCCCCCTCACAGGCACTCGGGGGTCACCATAGGTTCAGAGGGAAGCCCAGCTCCCTAACCTGGCCTGTGAAGCTCCCCAGGATCTTGCCCTAACAATCGTACCTCCATGTGTGCCCCATAAAACTGGCTGTTTTATTTTCTATCTGTGAAGCTGCAGTCAAAATCTTGACATCATGGGGATACCATTCATCCCCAGGAGCAATTTCTAGGCCATGCTATGTAGACAGCAATGTGGAATACTTGGAATTCATTATCTTTCTTTTTTTTTTTTATTAAAGATTTTTTTTTATTTATTTAATTGACAGAGAGAGAGAGAGCGTGAGAGGGAACACAAGCAGTGGGAGTGGGAGAGGGAGAAGCAGGCTTCTGGCTGAGCAGGGAGCCTGATGCGGGGCTCGATCCCAGGACCCTGGGATCATGACCTGAGCCGAAGGCAGTTGCTTAACCAACTGAGCCACCCAGGCGCCCCTTCATTATCTTTCTAAAAGGCCTTGATGAACTCTGTCTCCAGATGGCATCGTTTCAAGATAAGACTAAGAAAATTTGGCAAGAAACCTTGTGAAGTCACCAGTAGTATTTTAGAGACTGTGAAATAGGTGTTCTCAGTGTTAAAAAAAATTCAGCTGAGTAAATTTGAAGATCTAATTGGTTTTATTAAGTGATTCATGAATCAGGCAGTATTTCATCTAGCAAGAAGAGGGGAGCTCCACTGAGCTAAAGAAGGGAAAGGCTTTTAAAGGCAGAGGGCATTAAAAAAAAGCGGAAAGGAATTTATTAGCAAGATATGCATTGTTTAGGCAAAGTTGCCTCAGAAGGAGAGCAGACGGGGGGTCTATCAGAAAAGTCCCTAGTATTGACCAGGGAATTCTGTGTTGACTGGATAAAGGTGACATTCCGGGGAGGGGGGATTGGTTGAAATTGCACTTGGGTAAGGAATTAAGTCTTGGTTTATTGACTTGGGTCCTTAACCTTAGTGGCACCATTTTGGGCTAGTGGTTTTCTTTTGAGCAATTGCCCCTTTTTGATCAGACTCTTAACTGAGAGATGTGATGAACATTTAAGGCCTTAGCACCACTTTCTGTTACTGCTCTAAGTTCTTAAAGTTTTTGTTGTTTCTTTGTGTGTTATCCATAAGTCATGACCTTTTTGCTTAACCTCTGATATTCATAGGTCACAGCCTCAGATTCACACTCCTTTAAGTGGGTTATTTTCTTTGTTCCTTAGATGTTCCAGTCTTAGGGAGAGCATTTGCTCGATGTCCTGCTACATGTGTCTCAAGCTTTTGAAAGAATACAACACACTAGGGAGATTATAATCATTACATAAGTAGGATAAATACCAATATTTGGAGTGCAGTTTAGAGCCATGGTCCCCAAGACCCAAACCAATCAAAATCAAATAAGCCAAAGAAAGACCCTGTGGAAGGAGTCACCTTCTTAAGCCAAGCGACTTGTTCTTTGATCTTACCTGACTTTCAGCGTCGACAGGTGTCAGGTAGAGGCTCAGCAGGTGGTGTCGACAGCACAGACACCGTCTTTGTCAGCCAATAGGTAGTTCAGAGCTGTTCCGTTATCAAGGACAACTTTGGCTAGAGAGTTTAAGGGTATTTGTTGGGCTGCAATTGCTTTAACAGGTTTTGCAGTAATTTTAAGAATTACTGGAGCAGTTCTTGATCCTAGCCTTATTTACATTTATCCCTAATCAGGGAAATAGAGACCTGTCAGAAGGAGTGAATTGTGAATCATGAATGTCCTCCAGTAGACGCTTTAAAAAAAAA